GCGGCGGGGGAGGGGGGGGGGCCCTGCGGAGGCCCCACGGGGAGCACAGCGCTCAGAAGCCCACCCCAAGGGCTGCTCCAGCAGAGAGAGACAATGAGAAACCAGATACCATGGAATTAGTGAAGAATTTCTCAGATGAAACAGGAAAGAGAGGAAATCCAGGGAGGTTTACGCTACACCTGGCGCAGGTTGAAAGGATTCCGGGCCAGTTGCTGGCGAGGAGAGACCCCGGGAGCGTCTGAAGGAGCCTTCGCTCGGGCCGCAGGGGAGAAGCATCCCTGCCCGCCCGCCGCCCGGCCTCAGTGCCACACACAGCACACACGACGCATGCGCACTCGAACACGTGCACACGCTCATGCACATGTGCATGCACATCCACACCATGCACTCACGCTCGTGTGCACACTCACTCACATGCATGCACACTCACATGCACATGCACCCACAAACCCACAGGCACACTCCAGCACAGTCACGTGCTCATGCACACCCACAGGCACACTCTCCAGCACACTCACGTGCATGCACACCCATGCACCCACAGGCACACTCCAGCAGGGTCACGTGCACACGCACGCCCATGCACTCACTCAAAGCTTGGTCATCCCTTGACCATGCCAGCTTGCTGCCCCTCCTGAGATGCGAGAGCTTGCAGATAACTGGATCTGCAGGACACAACCGCACGACCACAGCCGCGTTCAGTGTGCTGTCACCGTGCCGCCTCACCCACGCAGCTCACATGGAGCCCAAATGCAGAATGAGCGAGTGCAGCGCTGCCCCTTCCCTCCGTGACCCTTGCTGAAGGGCAGGCACGGGGACGAGGCGACCAGCATTGGCAGGATCACGTGTGCGGCACCGCCTGCAGAGGTGGAGCCCCAAGGGGGCCTGGAGCTTCCTGCAGGACCAGCCTGGGTCAGGCTCCCCAGATCTAGCTACACAGAGTTATCTGGACTCTCAGAAACACGACAAATGGGTCAGGTGAGGGGGTGGCAAGACCCCAGACACCCCAGCCTCTGCTCTGCAGTCTGGACCCTGACCCATCTGGACACGGAGGCCCCTGGGGTGGTCCGGGCTCTTCCTCCACTTGTGGACGCTGTGGAGGCTGGATTCGGGGCCTGTGCTCTTGTCCCAAAGTCCCCCCACCCCTCCCTCCTTCCCTCTCTCTCTCTCTCTCTCTCACACACACACACACACACACACAGAGTGTTTAATACAGAGGCAGTTCTTTACAAATGTGCTGAAAATACCCAAGATGTACCCCCCGCCCCCCCCCCCCCCCCCGCCTTCCAGGTTCGTGGGATCTGTCCTTTGGAGTCTGCGTGAGGCCATGTGCAGTTGACAAGGAGCTGGGCGAGGTGAGGCAGTAGTTCAGCCACAACCATTCCCAGTAATGGCTGGAATATTCTAGAACATTCTAGAGGGGGGCGTGCGCTGGCCTCGGGACCCCAGAAGCTGTGAGAGCATGGTCCCCAGAGCCCGGCCAGGTGGCTGCGAACCCCGCCTGTTTCCCTGTGCCTGAACGGGCCGTGTGGTTACAGGGCCGATGCTGGCTCTGCGGGGCGGAGCCCTGGGCCACAGGTGGTTCCACAGCCTGGTGTGGAAGGGGCACATACCTGTGGGAGCCGGGAAGAGCGGCGGGGCAGCAGGGCACGGCCGGGCGATGGCACGAGCGCTGCAGGGAGGGGCTGGAGCCCAGAACTGCCCACAGGGCTGTTCCACCCTCCGCATCCTGACCAGCCACGCAGGCCCACGGGAAACGCCCGTCCCCACCAGCCGGGCCCTGGCCCTGCACTGGCTCCAGGGCTTGTCCCACTGCCCTCCCCCCGCCAGTGACCCCCGAGAAAGCTGGCGGGGCCAAGAGGGAGGGGGACAGAACCGCCACGCAGGGAGTGGGGGGCGCTGGCTCCCGGGGGGCCGGGGGAGGGTGGGTAAACGTTGTGAGTCTTGGGGCTGGGGCGAGCAAGGCTCCGGCCCAGGGGTCCGAGGGCATCTGGGCCCGCGCAGGGTGTTCAGTGCTCCCTGGGAAGGAACCATGTGTTTACTTAGGGGGTTCTCCAAGCACACTCAGGGCACCCCGACCCAGCTCAGACTGTGGCCGGGCGGTGCAGGAAGCGGGCAAAGACCCTCGGGCAGGGCAAGGAAGAGAGTTTTGGGGGCGTGGCACTGCCCCCAGATCTGTCCTGCCTCGGTGTATGTTCTAGAAGTTGCTGGAGCCCGGGGCGGGCGGAGAGACCAAGGACCAGTTCTGCTCGTCGTGCCTCACGCAGAGAAAACTCCCACTGCGCCCTCCTCAGTCACGGCCCTGCCCTCCGTGACACGCTGCGCCCCACCCGGCGCTCCACCCACGTCCAGCCTCGCAGCAGCCACATTCCCAGGGCCACTGTGTCCAGCGCTCTGCGGCCTCCTTGGTGGACGGCGGCCTCCTGTGGGCAGGGACTCTCCGCACTGACTGCGTGGCTGGGGCTCTCCAGGGAGAAGCCAGGGCACCCGGGACGCCGAGTTCCCCGGAACACGGCATTTGAAGGACGCATGAGTGGACACACTTAGCCACGCTGGACTGTCCTTCTGAAATTCCAACTTTGACGTGCTCAGTCCGGCAACCCCGCTCCAAAGCGCCCAGTGGGGCCCGGGGGTGGAGTGGGCTGGCAGCACCCTGGCTCGGCTCTTGTGGGGGTGGCAGCCCAGAGGCGCGGAGCTGGGGGTCCTGGGGAGCGAGCTGCATGGGCCCCGGATGGCCCCCCGCGCCTGGCTGTCAGCTCTGGGCCCCGCCCCAAGGAGAGGGTCACTGGGAGAAGAAACGAAGGAGTTTGGGTTTCCCAGTCACCACCCTCGCGACCCGCTTCCCACTTCCCTTCTCTCCCCTGAACTCGGACTCGGAGACCCTTCACTTTTGAAGGCCGGACCCCACAGCCGCCCGGCCAGTCAGGAAGAGCGGCCCCGGGAAGAGCGGCCCCCGGACACAGGGCGTGGGCCGCCGCCCCCGGCGTCCCTCAGGGAGTGCCGGGATGTGGAAAGGCCTGGAGGCCGCCAGGGCGGTGCAGGGGCCTCCGCAGGGGCAGGCGCGTGCAGACGGCTGGACCTTGACCTCCTCCAGGGGCCTCTGCCGAAGGCCACCCGGCAGGTCCGCCAGGGCCAGGGTCAAGGCCGCGGGCCACCTGCGGGCCACACCTTCAGGGGAGGGGGAGCCGGGGTTTCCTCCGCCCCCCACCTCCCCGCCCCGCCCCGCCCCGCCCCTCTGCGGGCCCGCCGGCCCAGGCCACCCACGGGGTGGGAGGGGCACCCCGAGGGCCAAGCCCCTCCCGTCACGGCCCTTCCCACCCTCCGCCCGGGCTGGGGGAGCCCCTGGCACGGCCCTTTGTGCAGCGCTGAGGGCAGCGGCTTCCAGCGGGCGGGCGGCCTGCCAGGAGCTCCAGCCCCCCCCCCCCCCCCCGCGCTCCCGGGGTGGCAAAGGGCGTTCATTACGGCGGGGGAGGGGGAGGGGAGCGCGCTCCGCAGGGCCGGGGCGCCGGGCGGAGGGAGGGCGAGTCACAAAAGCCGGCGAGAAACTCCCAACGGTTTTTTTTAGAACTTCCCCTCCCGCCGCCCGCCCCTCCCCCACCCGCGGCGGCCCGGCCAGCGCTGGCCACGGCGGCGCATCAGCCGCCCCCCCCCCCCGGCGCGACCCCGCCCGGCCCCCCCCCCCGGCGCGACCCCCCGCCCGGCCCCCCGCCCCTCCACGTCGCGCCCCCCGCCCCCGCCCCCTCCGAGCGCGCGACCTGCCCCGCCCGGCCCCGCGCCCCCGCCCGCTGGCCACCCCGGCAGGGGCCTCCTGCCCCCGCGGGTGGGGGGCCGCCCGCGGCCGCTCGCCCCCCCCCGCCGCACATCTGGGCTCTTAGCCCCCCCTCCCCGCCCCGGCGCCGCTCCCCGCTGCCCAGGACCGGGGCGGCCTCGGCGAGCCCCCCGCCCGCCCCCTCGCAGGAGGCCCCCGCCCCGCCCCGCCGGGGCCTCCGTGGGCGCCTCGGGCCGGCGGCTTCCGGGGAGACGCCTGGCGGGGCGCCCCGCGGCCCCTCGGGGTCGGCGCGGCGGGCCCGGGCGCGGCGGGGGCGGGAGGTGCCGTCGGGGGCCGTCCGGCCGGGCGGGGTCGGGCAGGCGGACCCCCGCGGCCGGGCAGCCCGCAGGGGCGCCCTCCCCCCGCCCCCCCCAGGCGCAGCGCGGGCGGCGGGGCCGCGGGCACGGCCGGCGCAGGGGGGCGGGGCGGGGGCGCGGGGCCCCCCTCCGCGTCGGCGCCTCCGGACTTCCGGGAGCGTCATCCTCGCGCCCCGCCCGCGCCCCCCCCGCCCCCGGCCCCCAAGCCCTCGCAGACGCCGCGCGGGACGCGACCCGCGCTTCCTCCCCGACGCCCGCGGCGGAAGAGGGGCGGGGAGACGGCCGGGCTCCCCACCCCCCGGCCCGCCCGCCCCCCAAGCAGCGAGGGCGCAGCTCCGACATCGCCATTTAATATTTACATTCAAGCAGGTGACATGGAAGCTTATAGTTCAGACACGTCTAGCAGCAGCGGGTTCTAGAGCTCGCGTGGCCTTAACCACCTCCCCTTGCACGTGGACACGACACACCCGTGTGCACAGTATCAAAAAATAGACCCGGGCGCGCGGCCCGCGGGGATGGACCAACCGAACACTGGACGGGGCGGCGGGCGAACAGAAAATAGCTCGTCTGGTATAGAATATAGGGCGATCTAGGGGGCTCCATAAATCTAGGTCTTTATATTTCCATATATAAATACCTACAAATAAATATATATATACCGGCCCGGGGGGGCCGGGCCTGCTGAGCTCAGACAATACATTTCAAGAATAACACCACGTACAAACGGGGGCGAGTCTGCACTGGACACGTGAGCACGGTTAGGATATAATACTAGAGCTCGGGGCGCCGGGGAGGGCGGGGGCGCGGGCGGGGCGCGGGGCCGAGGCACAGTGTGGCGGGCGGGCCGGGGCCGGGAGCCGCCCGCGCGGCCCGGGAGGGCGCGCCCCGCCGCCGGCCGCGGCTACACCGTCACGTACTCCTTGAAGGTGACGGTGAGGCAGTTCGCGGTGACGTCGGTGATGATTATATTCCCAAAGAAAGGCTTGAACTCGCTCAGCGGCTCCTCGGGCTCGTCCGGGGCCTCGGCCGGGGGCTTCGCGGCGGCGGCCGCCGCCGGGGCGGGCGCCTCGGGCTTCACCGGCGGGGCCCCGGCCGGCTCCGCGGCGCCGCGCGTCTTGACGCAGCGCAAGTCTATGGGCTCGTCCAGGTCCGAGTCCAGCAGGATGACCTCGGGCTGCGGGGGCGCGGCGGGGGGCGCGTGCGCCGCGCGCTCGGCGGCCGGGCCGCCCCCCAGGCCGGTGGGGGTGCTGATGCTGCGCGCCGTGAGGCGCTTCTTGCCCGGCTCGCGCTCGCCGTGCGTCTCGGAGAGGCAGCGCTTGCGCGCGTGGGCGAGGCTGAGGCCCCCCGCGGGGTGGGGGTGCGGGTGCGGGTGGGGTGGGGGTGCGGGTGGGGGGCGGGCGCGTGCGAGCCGCGGGCCGGGTCCCAGCCCAGCAGGTCCGGCTTGGTGGTCAGCTGGAGCGGCTGCTCCCCGAAGGCCTCCTTGGCCGGGGAGAGCTTGCGCGAGGCGGCCTCGGGCGGCGGCGGGTCGCCGGGCCCGGGCGCCTCCTCCTCCCGCCGCTTGGGGGCCCCTCGGCCTTCTTCTCCTCCGGGCCCCCCGCCGCCCTCTTGAAGGTCCGGTCGGCCGGGGGGCCGTGGCGCTCCTCGGCGCCCGCGCGCTTCTTGTGGCCGGGCGCGCGCGCCTCGGCCTCGGCCGCCTCGCCCGACTTGATCTTCACGGCCTGCATGCCGTTCTCCATGTACTTGCTCATCACGATGACGATGCGCCCGTTCTTGTTCTTGTTCTTGACGATCTTCATCTTGCCCCCGATGCCGTTGCCCGCGCCCGCCTCCTTGGGGGCCGGCGCCAGGCCGTTGGGGGGCCCTTCTCCGCGCCCTTGCCCGGCGCCCCGGCCGCGCCCGCCAGGGGCTTGACGGCCCCCAGGTAGCCCTTGGCCGCCGCGCCGTGCGCCCACTTGTCGGGGGGTGGCCCTTGGCGCCCAGGTCCGCGCAGGCGGGGCTCGGCGCCTCCTTGTGGCCGCCCTGGAACTGCAGGTCGTACATCTTGGGTCCGGCTGGTAGGGGTGGTGCTTCTTGCTGTTGAGCTGGTAGTAGTACTTGCCGCCCTTGCCCGGCGGCGGCGGCTTGCCCGCGCGCTCCTTGCCGTGCGGCTGGTACTGGTGGTGCTTCTTGCTGTTGAGCTCGTACTGGTGGCCCTGGCCCTTGCCCGGCGCGCCCAGGTCCAGCTTGGCGCGGTTGTCGGCCGAGGAGTCCTGCAGCCCCGTCAGCACATTGGAGCGGCGGGCAAAGGTGGGTACCTGGGGGGGCGGCGGGGGCGGGGCGTGAGGACAGGCGTGGGAGCCCCGCGGAGCAGCCCCCCAGGCGGCAGCGGAGTTGCCAGGGCGGGGCGGGGGGCAGGAGGTCAAGCAGAAAGGAGGCCGAGTTGGGGAGCTGTGGAGGAACCCCACCCTCTGGGTCCGGGCAGCCCCGGGGGTGGGGGGCCCCGGCGCTCACCTGCACCACCAGCGGCTTGGGCTTCGGGCCCCTCTTGCGGTAGCCCATCAGCTGCTCCTGCCGTTCCCTGGGGGGGGCGCAGAGCGTCAGCCCGGGATGCCGCCCCTCCAGCTGCACCCCGACCCGCGGGCGGCCCCCACCCCCGTCGGCGAGCGGCCAGGAGGGTCAGCGCCTTCGGGGCGGAGGGTCCCCGGGCGCCACGTCGCGGCAACCTTCACCCGCCCGAGGGCTGCACCCCAAGGCCCCTCTGGCGAGCCCCCGCCCCGTCCGGCCCGCGCGCGGAGGGGGGGCTCCTGCCGAGCCGCGGCACCCCCGCCCGGGGCCTTGACCCCGCGAAGCGGGGCGCGCACGGGGTCGGGGCGGCGGCCGAGCCCGGGATGCTAATGGCCTCATTAAGATTCAGATAACGAGCGCGGAGGGGCGCGGAGGGGCGCGCTGGGGGGCCGGGCCGCAGGGGGAGGGGCTGCGCCCTTGTTTACACGCGGCAAATGAGCCAATTAGGGGCGGGGCGGGGGCGGGGCGGGCCCGGCCACAGGTTCGCGCCGCCAGGTGACGGCTCCCGGGCCGGGCCGGGCAGGGGCGGGGCGGGGCGGGGCGGCCGGCGGCGCCGCCTCCTCGCCGAGACTCCGGCCGCCGGGGCTTCCAAATTATTCCTAAGGCCCGGGCGGCGCCGGTCAGCGCTGCTGCGGGGCGTCCTCGTCCGCGGAGGGCGCCGGGCTGGGGGCGGGGGGCGCCCCTCCGGCGTGCCGGAGTCGTGGCCCCCCAGGCGGGACACCCACTCCCCGGGGGCCCCGCGTGCCCTGCCTGGGCTGACCCGGGGGACCCGCCGCGGGCCTGACTCCGAAGTTGCGCGGCGTTGCGCCAGCCCGCGCCGGCCCCGGGGGCCGTTACGCAACATGGCATCAGCCGCCGACTCGGTGACGGGGTGGCGGCTCCCAGGTGGGGGCGGGTCCCTTCTCCGCGCGCCCCCCCCCCCCCCCCCCCCCCCCCCCGGGCGCGGGACGGCCGCCTCCCGCAGCTGCGCCCGGGCCGGCGTCTGCGGTCTCCGCGCCAGGCTCGCAGGGGAAGTGATGCGAAGTAGGGGGGCGGAAGGCAGCGGGGCGGCCCTCCCCCCACCCCCCGAAACAGAGAACCACAGCCCCGCGGGAGCCCAGCTGGGCTGCAGGGTGACAGCACCTGCGCGCACGGCGCCCCCGCGTCCACCCGCCCCTCCCGCCGGCGCCCTGCGCCCTGCGGCCGGCCCGGGTCACCCAGGCCCCCGGAGGGGTGTGCGGGGCACCCAAGGCAGACAAACCCTGCCGCCCCCCGCGGAGCCCGAGCGCCCGGGGTGGGGTCCAAGGGGCCGAGGTCTTGTCAACTTTTCTCCAGCCCCCAACAGGTTAAGTCCAGCCCCGTGACGTCCAGCTGTTTCCCAACCGGCTCCCTCGGGCTGCCCGCCGTGCCCGTGCCAAGCGCCCGCGGCTGCAGGAACGCGGCACCTAGGGCCGGGGGTGGGGCTCCGCGGGGCGGGGCGGGGCGCTGCAGGGACCCCGGCACGCCCACGCGCGCGCCCTCCCCCAAGTCTCCCCCAAACACCAGCCCCGTCTCCCCGGCCCCGCCCCACCCCCACCCAGGGCCGCAGCAGCCACAAGGACGTCGCTGGAGCAGCCGAGGCCGCGGCCCAGTCGGTCGGGCCGGAGGGGGAGGGGACGCCCCGGGCCCCCCTCGGCCCGTCCCCCTCGGCGGAGCCGCTGGGCCTGCCCCCCTCCGGGCCCCGCGGCGGGCTGGGGCGCGCGGGGGGCGCTCACCTGTTCTGGAAGGCGATGAGCAGCCGCGGGTCCAGGATGTTCTCCTCGGGCTCCCACGTGTTATATCTTGCGGGGAGAAGGGGGGCGCGGGTCAGAGCCCGAGCGCGGCCTCCAGGTGGGGCGCACCAGGCCTCTGGCCGCCGAGCCCCGCGCTGCGGGGGGCGGGGCGGGGTGGCGGCCGGACCCCGCCGGCCCCGCGCCCGCCCCCCATAAACGCGCGGGCGGGGAGGGGGAGGGTCAGGAAAGCGCACCCGGCGCTCACCCCGCAGTTGTCAAGAATTTCAGGCACGTTCCTGCGCCGCGTTCCAACGCCGCCGGCTCCCCGGAGCCCCCGCGCGCGGCCGCGAGATGCCGGGGCGCCCGGCCCGGCCCCCGCCGACCCCCCCCGCCCGCCGCCGGCGCGCGGCCCCCCGCGGCCCCCCCGCGCCCCGCGCCCGCTGTCACGGCCGGCGCCCCCGACGCGGCCGCGGGAGCCGCCGGCGCGCGGGAGAGCGCGGGTGCCCGCGCCGCCCCAGCCGGCGCCCGCGCCTCCGAATCAGAAAAAATAGCCCCGAGCGGCGCCGCGGTGACAGCGCCCGGCGTTTCCTGCCCCCCCGCCCTGCGCGCCGGGAGGGAAGAGGCGCACAATTGCGTTTTCGTCGCTTTTTAATTTTTTTTTTGGTTTTGCAATATGGAGCCGCTCGGCGCAGCGAAGGGAAAGGAGCCATTTTCTGCTGCACATCAGGCAGCGCCGCGCCTCCGCCCTCGCGGCCTCCCGCCCGGCCCGCGCCCGCGCCCCGCGCCCCGCGCCGCGCACACCCGCGACGGCCTCTCCCGGGGCGCGGCGGGCGCCCGCCCCCGCCCCCCAACCCCGCCGGCCGCCGCGGCCCCCGCCCGGCCCGGCCCGGCCCGGCCCGGCCCGGCCCGGCCCGGCCCCGCGCCGCCGCCGCGACTTACTTGGGGGACCAGCCTCGCCATTTCACCAGATACTCCACCCGGCCCTGCGGAGACACGCGCCGTCAGCCCGCGCCCCGCGCCCGCCCGCGCCCCCGCCCGCGCCCCCCGCGCCCCACCTTGCGGATCCGCTTCTTCTCGATGCTCTCCACGGCGAAGACGTGCTCGCCGACAGCTGGCAGCTCCATGCCGGCCAGGCGCGCCGGGCGCGGGCGGCCGCCGGCCCCGACGCGCTGCTCCGCCGGCCCCCGCCCCGGCCCGGCCCGGGCCCCGCGCCCCGCGCCGCCCGCCGCTCGCCCCCGCGCCGCCGGCCCCGCTCGCGCCGCGCAGACACTGCCGGGCCGGGGCGCCGGGCTCGGGGACGACGTCGGGGGCGGGGCGCGGCGTAGGGGGCGGGCCCCGCGCGGATTGGCGGGCGCGCCGCGGCCGGCGGCGGGGGGGCGCGGGGCCCGGGCCGCGGGGCGGGGGCGCGGGCGGCGCGGGGGCGCGCGGGGGCGCGGGGGGGCGCGCGGGGGCGGCGGGCCGGGCCGGGGGCCGGGGGCCGGGGGCCGGGCCGGGCCGGGCCGGGGTCTCGGGCGCGCGGCCCTCGCCGGCGCCGCGGCCGCCCCCGGCCTCTCCGGCGCGGGCGCGGCGCGCGGAACCCCGCGGGGCCACGGAGGCATCCCCGGCCGTGCCCGGGGCACCCACTTGCGTCATGCGCGCCGCGCGGGGCCCGCCGGCAGGGGGCGGGCGCGGGGCCGGGGCAGCTGGCACCCCCCCGCGCCCGCCCCGCCGCCCCGGCGCTCGCGAGGGCGAGGACTGGCCGGGAAAGGCCGGCGCGAGGGGCCCGCGTGCCGAGGACGCCGGGGGAGCGCGGCGCGGGGCGAGGAAGGGGACCGAGCTGCCGTCAGCGCAGGGCCCAGGCGCCCCAAAACCCGCCGACACCGGCCCGCCCGGATGTGGTCGGCTCCCGAGTTGCCCTTGAACCCCTGCGGGCCGGGCTCGGGGGGCTGTGTCCAGCGGCCCCTCTCCTGCGCCCCCCGGCGGGGCGGGGGCGGCGAGGACACGGGGGGCGCCGGGGCGGCCCAGGGCGGCGGGGCCGCGGGGTCCCGGGAGGACCTCCGAAGAGGGCGCGGGGAGACCCGGGAGGAGCCGAGGGCGAGCGAGCGCGGAGGGGTGAATGGAATGGTCGAGAAGCCCGGCGCTGCTTCTGGCCTGGAGCCCCCTGGGCCCCGAAAGGCGGCCGGGCCGGGCTCCCGACGGCCGCGAAGGCCAGTGTGAAGTCTGGCACCTCCGGTGGCGAGACGGCGCGTTCCATGGAGTCGCTGCAGGGGGGGGCCTGCACCCCCGCGGCCTCCGAGGGCGCCCCCCGGCCGCGAGCTCCAGGGGTCGGGTGGGGGCCCCGGGAGGAGGCAGGGCGGCCGCGGGCGCGCCGCCTTGGGGTGTGTCGGGGCCCCGGCTTGGGCCCTTGAAGGACCGGGCGCAGGTCCTTGCGCAACCCCTTGGCGGCGCGTCCGTGGGGAGAGCCGGGCGCGGGCGCGGGCGGAGGCGGCGGGGGGCCGCGGACAGCCGCCCTGACACGCGTCCGGGAACGCCGGGCGGTCGGCGGGGCCTCCAGCCAGCCTCGGAGGGCGATGTGCGAAGGGGACCCCGCAGCCCGCCCGGGGCGCGCGTTCCCGGGAGCCAGGGGCCGCCCGGAGCCGGGGGTGAGGCCGCGCACCTTGGCGCCCCGGTGTCACCGGCTCGCGGCTCCCCGGCGGCGGCCGCCCCCCCGCAGTGCGGGCCCCAGACCCGCGGACGGCGCCCCTGAAGGGCTGGGGTGGGGCGTCTGCTTCGGTCCTCAGAGGAGGGCTCGTCTGCCGAGGCCGCCCGAGAAAGGGGGGGCGGGAGGGCTGCGGGCGGGCAGGGAGGGGCCGGTGGGGGCAGACCCGCCCGGCGCCGACCTGGGCACTCGGGGTGCAGAAGCCGGGGGAGGCCAAGCCTGTGGGCGGGGACACAGGGAAATATTTTTCTCCTCCTGGGGTGCTGTGTCCCCCCACACTTGCCCTGGGGGACTGTCCCGCGCCCCTCGCGGAGAAGGGCACGTGTGAGGCTGGCGCGGGAAGCGCCCTCGCGCCCAGTCCCGGGCCCAAGGCGCCAAGGGCCGCCCGGCGGGCGCCGTGGGCCTGTCCGGAGGTCTGGGCGACCTTGTCCTGGACATTCCCGCCGGCCAGGGGCGGCCGCACTTCCCGACACCCCACCGCCCCAGCAGAAAGCCCCCTGGAAAATCTGCTTCCCGTGGGTGTTTCCGCGCCCGGGGGCTCCGGGGAGCGAGTGGCCGCGCAGCCTCCAGCCGCCAGGGGCGACGTGGGACTCGCCAGGGGCTGCTCAGCTGGCTGGGCCGGCTCCGAACGTGCTCACCACCCGCGGGGCCCCATTGCCGCACCCCATGTCCCCCCATGCCCCCCCTGCCAAGTGTATGCTTCCGTGGAGCCACGGTAGGGGAGGAAGGAGGCCTCTGGCCGGCCAGGGCACAAGGCTGCCCTTGTGGTGGTGCAGGGAGCCGCTCAGCTGCCCAGACTGGGAGAGGGGACCCCTGAGGTTCCTCAGAAGGCAGGGAGTCTCGGCACCCCGCTCCTGGCCTTTCTGGCCACTGCTGGGAAAGGGACCAACATAGCCGAGCACCCACCCAAGAGGCTGCGCCCCCCTCGCGGCTGTCACTAATTTTCTCCCAGGGGAGGGTGGCTGGTGTGCAGAGAGGCCCCCCAACCACAGCCTCCCTCCCACGCCCAGCGCCCCAGCACCCCCCAGTTGCCAGTGGTGTTGGGAGGCACGCAGGTGCTCGGGGAGGAAACAGGCAGAATCTACACGGGGTGGGGGGCGCGGTGAGCACCCTGCCTGCCTGCCAGCCCTCCCGGGGCGCGCCCGCTCCCTTCCCGACCCCCCGCCTTGGCCCCTGGAAGGGAGCCGGGGTTGTCCCGCCCTGGACTCGGTATTCCCTGAGCCGTCAGGTGGGGCCCCTGCCTCCGACCCGGGATATCCCGGCCGGGCCGCGGGGAACCCGGGGAAGGGCCCAGGTCGGGCCTGGGGCGCGCCCCTCCCGGGCGGGTCGCAGAGCGCGGGGGCCGCGCCGAGGGGCAGCAGCCTTCCCGGGGCGCCTCGCCGGGGCCGCCGGGGCCCTCAGGGGCCCCAAGAGAGGAGCGAGGCGACCGGCACCTCTTCTGCGCCCCGGCGCTAGGGGGGAGCCCCGAGGCAGGACCCTGGGCGCTGGGAAGCGTCTCCCGGCCCCGACCCGGGCGGCCCAGGGCCGGTCCCCGGGGACGTGGCGCGCGGCCCGGGAACCAGCGGCGCCTCGCGGGAGCCCCTCGGGGCGCGCTCCGGCGCGGGACTGGCCGGGCGGGCTCTGCCGGGAAGGGGCCGCGGGGGCTGCCCCGGCCGCCCGGCTGGAAGCTGCGGCTGGCGGTGTCCGGGCTCCCGGGGAGGGGCTCCGCCCCCGAGAATGTGACCCCGAGAATGCGTCAGCGGCGGCCGCGAGCCCCGCAGGCTGTGACACGGGCGCATTTCTCTCCTCGGCTCTGGGGGGACTTGTCTTTGGCCGGCGCGGGCGCGGGCGGTTCTGTATTTTCAGGGCGGCTCGGCTCGGGGGGAGCAGACCCGCTGGGACGGGGTGGGGGTGGGGCGGGCGGCTTCTGGGGAGCCCCGCACCGCGCCCGCCGCCCGCTCTCCGCGCCCCGCCGCTGCTCTGGGCCGCGCCGCCCTCCAAGAGGGGCTCGGGCTTCGCTGGGGCGGCCGAGCGGAATTGGGGCTCCAGGTGGGCGGGACCCGCAGGGTGAGCGGGCGGGGCCGCCTGCCCCGCGCGCCGCGAGGCCGCGGCCCCTTGGCAGGGCCTAGGAATTTTGGGGGGCCACGTCTTCGCGCTGCGGCCCGCCGGGGTAGCCGGCGCGACGCCCGACGCCTGGTTCCCTACGCCCCGCCCCGCGCGAGGGAGCCCCCCAGGCGAGGCCCGCGGACCACCCGCCCCGCCCGCCCCCGCCCGCGGGGCTCCCGCCGCCCGCAGGGGTGCCCCGCCCCGCACCTCAGACAGGAGCCCCGGGCCGCGTCCCCCCCCGCGGCCGCGCGCCCACGGCCCCCGCGCCGCTGCCCGGCTGCAGGCCCGCGGGCTCCCCGCCCGCCCGGCCGCGAGGCTCGCCCTGCGCGCCCGCCCCTGCGCTTGCTCTCGGGTGCCCCCGCGGCGCCCCCACACCCGGCGGGGCCCACACGCGCGCGCGCAGATTCTTTCTTCCCTCCCGGCGCTGAGCCGGAGCGACTGGGAATCGCCGGGCGACCCCGGGGTGGGCGTCAGCCGCGAGCCGCTGCCCCCCCCGCCCCGCCCCGCCCCGCCCGCTCGCCCCGCACCCCGGCCCGGCCTCGCGCCGCGCGGGGGTGACCGCGCGGGGGGGGCGCCCGGCGGGGGCGGGGCCGAGCCCGGGGCCGCGGAACTGGGCCGCCCCGCCCCCGGCGGCCCCTCGCGGCCCGGCGCGGCCCGCCCCCTGGCCCGGAGCCCAGCCCGCCGCGGCCGGAACCGCGGGGCCGCCGCGCCGGGCTCGTCTCGGGGGCGCGCGGGGGAGGGGCGCGCGCCGCCGGCCGGTCGATCGCTCCCCGGGGCGGGAGCGCGGGGAGCTCCCCCACACCTGGGGGGCCGGGGGGGGCGTCCCGGGGTGCTCGGGGAGCGGGTGGCCGGGGGACGGCGGCCGGGAGGGCCCAGCTCGGCGGCTTGAAGGCGGCCCGGGAGCGGGGGCTGGGGGCGGCTGGTGACGCCCCGGGCGCCCCCAAATGCCATGTTGCCGGTGGGACCCGGCTTGGCCGCTTCCGCAGCCCAGGCTGGCTGCCTCGCGACTTCGCCCCCCTCGTCCAGGCCCCGGCCCCCCGCCCACCCCCCCATGAGGAGCTCGCGGACGCGGTCACCCAGCCCATTCCCGGGGCCGCCAGCATCCTGCTAGAAATGGGGGGGTCCCCTCGACTTCACCTCCGGAAGATCCCCTAGGTTTTCCCAAAAGTCCCCCTCCCCAGCCTCTTCCGGAGGGTCGTTTCCTGGGTGATCCCTGAGGACCCCCGGGGATGCCTCTGGCTCCCCGGGGCGCGGTCCCGCCTCCCCGCAGCGGGGCAGGGGCGCCTGCGCTCGCCGCGCCCCCCTCTAGGGGGCGGGCTCCCCTCGGGCCGACGGAAGGCCGGGGGCCGCCCCGTCAGTGCAGGGGATCCGGACCCGGTCCAGG